GTTAACTGGGCGGTTAACCTAGATGCCAACCTCCCGCTCCTACTCGATATGACAACCTAGTGCTCGATTTACTACTAGGTTGAGCTAGCTAACTAGGTAAAAAGGTACATTTACCTAGCTCCGCGTCCTAGATAACCGTCCGGTTACATCTGTGTTGGAGCTAGCTCCTCTCCATAGACGATTTTTGCTTGGGATGTTCGGTTGCGAACGGTTTGATGCCGATCAGCGATTCCTAGTTTGAGATTGTTGCATGCCTAATATCGATGCGTTGTTTCGAATTATGTTTATGAAAGCAATCCAGCAGTGAATAGGATAAACAGCTCAGGTTGAATAGTCTTATATAAATACGTGACAAAGTTGAATCTTACATAATTTTGATGTGCATCCAATTATTTTATTCCTAAAATTTAATCTGACTATCCACTTAATAAGTAAAAGTTGAATACACATTATCTCTGACGATCGTGACTCGAAGAGAAAGCTAGAAAGTCATGATCATTGGAAAATGGTTCATCTAACTGCTAAATATAAAAGAGAAACCACTCATTACTTTTTAAACGTTAATCAGCCGTATCGACGGCCATATATCTCAAAAACTAGACGGTGCCCATTTTCAAAAATAGTTCAATGTCTTATGCAACAGGTGTACTTTAAGCTTGTATGACTTGTACGCATGAGTACTTTCTAATTAAGTTAATTCTGATCCGTTAAGTGGACCGAATATAGAGTAAAATCCACATTATCACCATCGTTCTTGTCTATATGCTCACGAGGGAACCTCTCGAGGTTATAAATCGCTTTTTGATCAGAATCTAGTGGATTATAGGTATGCTGATTCCGAATATGATTATGGGAGCTACCCATGGTTGTTCAAAGATACGCTGTTTTGGAAAACCACTTTTCCACAAACTCTAAAGTATAACCAAAACTTTTCTTAATGAGACACAATTGTAGCCGGCAAATTTCTGATTGAAATGGGACATCTGCCACCCCTACACGACCTTTCTTTGCACAGTTATAGAATTTACAAGAAAAGCCCTAAATGCTTAGCGCTGCAGCAAAAAGAAATTAATTCAGGGCTTTTCTCGTAAATTCTATAACTGTGCAAAGAAAGGTCGCGTAGAGGTGGGAGATGTCTCATTTTGATCAGAACTTCGTGGGCTACAATCGTGACTTGTTAAGAGAAAGTTGCAATAAAAAGCCCTAAATTAAATTGTTTTTATTTCTGTAGCTTTGAACATTTAGGGCTTTTCCTGAAAACTCTATAACTGTGCAAAGAAAGGTCGCATAGAGGTGGGAGATGTCTCATTTTAAGCAGAAATTTGCCGGCTACAATTATGTCTCATTAAGAAAAGTTTTGGTTATTATTTAGAGTTTCTGAAAAAGTGGTTTTCCAGAAAACCGTATCTTCGAACGACCACTGGCAGCTCCCATAATCATATTCGGAATCGGCATGGTCAATAACCTATAACCCACTAGGTTTCGATCAAAAAGCGATTTATAACCTCCAGAGGTTCCCTCGTCAATTATTTTACGAGTGGTTTCATCAACGAAAATAACCAATGTAAAAAAGTTAAGGCAGTCAAAACCGACTTTGCCTTATTCATTGCCAAAGAATTTAGCTGGATAGAATATAGAATGATCGCATACAGTGTTGTATTCCATTCTTCCGCCACTTTTGTATTCTGCATTGTGTGCGGTCAATCTATATTCTATCCAGCTAAATTCTTTGGCAATGAACATGGCAAAGTCGGTTTTGACTGCCTTAACTTTTTTACATTGATTATTTTCGTTGATGAAACCACTCGTAAAATAACTGAGTATAAATAAATGCATTAACTTTATGCATGCATTAAATTCACAATAGCTGTTCGTAATGCAAAGGAAAAAAATCTTCTTCCATGAACTCCGGTCGTACTTGTTTCCATATTACCTGATGAATCACACTGATCAAGCCTTAGACCGGTGTTTGATTCAAAGAATGTTCATTCAATTTAAAACGTAAATTGTCCGTGTTAGTATAGTGGTTAGTATCCCCGCCTGTCACGCAACTCCTCCATGGAAACTTCAAGTATTTTCTCGAAAAAGTTTGTGCCTTTGTTTGTTTCCCAACCGTTCTCTCTAGTGTGGACCATTGGCATTAATAGCCGAGAAAGAATCAGAACAGTTTCTTTTCTTTGTAAAATATATATTTGAGCCTCATGTGGAATATTTAAATGAACATGGTACTACTGTTGATGAATATAATAATATTACATATGAAGTGAGTGCAGCGATAAAAGTAAGAATGAGAGTTAGGAGGAACAGACCATTTTTTATGTACTATACGTCCCTCTGAATGGAACGATGAGCAAAAAATACGGGTTTCGATGTACCAAAAGAAAAGAAAACGAAAATAAATTCTCTGAAGCGTCCGAAAACTCAGTCGATGAAAAAACGATTTCTTCAGTATTTAAGTAAAGCGGAAGCAGCGAATACTAATCCATCGGCGAAGAAACAACGCTGTTCGTGAAGAAAGGGTTCAATAAAAGACTACAAACCAATATTAAAACAAGACATCTTGGATAATGATTTACCAATGAAATCCACGATACCAACGTCGAAACGACCACATGTATCGGCGGTTCGTTCCACAGCGTCCGGCAACAAAATTCAGGTCGAATCGTCTGACAGTGATTGCTATGACGACGATGAGGAAGCTTAAACGAAAATACCATTGATCAGAAAACAAAATAAGGTCCTGTACCTTACGAGGGAACCGCTCGAGGTTATAAATCGCTTTTTGATCGAAATTGAGTGGGATATAGGTTATCGACCATGCTGATTCCGAATATGATTATGGGAGTTGCCTATGGTCGTTCGAAGATCCGCTTTTCTGGAAAACCAGTTTTTCAGAAACTCTAAATAATAATCAAAAACCTTCTTAATGAGACAGAATTGTAGCCCGGAATTTTCTGATCAAAATGAGACATCTCCCAGCTCTACATGATGTTTCTTTGCAAAGTTATAGAATTCACAAGAAAAGCTCTAAATGTTCAAAGCTACAGAAATAAGAACAAATTAATTTAGGGCTTTTTATTGTAACTTTCTCTTAATAAGTCATGATGGTAGACCACAAAGTTCTGATTAGAATGAGACATCTCCCACCTCTAGGCGACCTTTCTTTGCAGAGTTATAGAATTTAGCTTTATTTTTTTTGTTTTTATATTTTATTTTAGCTTTTAAATAGTTCATCGTTTTCGTCAGTATGATATGTTCATATTGACAATTTTTTTTGTCTTCTATATGCATGGAATATTTATGAAAACTTAAGCAGACGATAGAAAAATTCAGTTCGCGTTCAACGTTTTTGTATAGACAACGTAAATTCATCATTTTAATAAGGACTAACAAAAAAAGTCTCTTAATTTAGAATACATGCATGCTTTTTCCCTTGTGAAGTTCATGAGGTGTTCATCTAGCATTGTTTTTTGACAAATGAATAGTCAAGCCTGAGAATAATCGTCATTTATCAACATGAAACGCTGAGAACAACGTTGAAGAACGTCGCATTCAAATATTAGAGTGCACAAACGTATGAGTAGGTCGTACTCATGTTGGGCGGTACATTCACTCAAGGATGCACTTCTCTGGCACCCAAAATTGGACTTTCAATTACCATTTAGTAAAGCTGCGCATGGAGGCATATGCGCAACTTATTCATTCCAATTCTGCCACTAGAGTTTATTATATATTATTGTTGTTGGTTCTCCTTTCTCGATTACGATATTGAATGATGGTAAAAACAACCGCTTTTCCCTTCTCCTTCCCACTAATATGTTAAAAATATTAAGTGAAATATATATCTAAAGTTTTTCTCGAGTTTCTTGACAAACAGAAGAAAACTGTTACTTGGTAAGATGTC